CAGGCCTTTCCTGACTAGACTTCCTGGCCTTAGGAATTTTGCCTTCTCCTCTCCCATTTTCGTCAGTAGTCGCTGCTGTTTTGGTTGTCTCTTGTGATGTTCCTGTGAGTTTATTTTAATATGTTTTAATACATAAATTTGTTTAATACTTTTTTAAGGGGCGGGTGGGTTTGGGGATTTTTAGGTTTTATCTATGTGATCTGTATTATATTGTACACAATTTTTAATGTTATAAGCCGCCCCGATTGCTCGTCAGAGAGGTGGGGTATAAATAAATAAATATTATTATTAATTATTATTGATATCCACAAAAATTCATGCTAGAATAAAAACCAATTAGTCTTAAAGGTGCTGCTACATTCTTTCTTTTTTTTCCTTTTTTTTTTATCCAGACAAATTGACCTTTGCTTGTCTTGTAATTCAGTTATGAGGTACGAAGGGGGGGGGGGGGGGGGGGGAAGAGCTACTTTTCCTTTATGTGTTATTAGATTAAGTCATCAGAGGTTTTCGATGCCCTTTAAAGATGAAATGTTTGTAACTGCCAGTGAAACAAGACAGCTGAGATACGTTGACATTTCTTTCCTTTCCATCAAATGTGAGTAGAATTGAAGATGGTTGTGGAAATGAAATAAACTTCCTTCTTTAGTTACGACTTCCAGATGAAAAATTATTTGATTTGTATGTCTTAGATATTGGCCCACTTTGAATGAACCTCTTCTAGAGTTGGGTACATGATGCTCCTTATTCCCCATGTACCAGCTTAGGGACAGAGATACTGATTTATTTTAAACCAGGAATGTGGAATTCTTATTTGACTCCTATGATATGTGGAGCTAAAAATTCCAGAGGTGTACAAGCTGGATTCAGGAAAGGAAGAGGCACTAAGCACTAGGGATTGCATTGCAAACATACCGTATTTTCCGGCGTATAAGACGACTGGGCGTATAAGACGACCCCCCATTTTTTCCAGTGAAACTATAGAGTTTGGGATATACTCGCCATATAAGACCACCCCCCTTTCCAA